GGAAGGAAGGAAGGAAGGAAGGAAGGAAGGAAGGAAGGAAGGAAGGAAGGGAGGGAGGGGACAGCAAGAGTATGACCTGAAATCTTTCAATTTTCTGCTCTGATTACGAGTGATTATTCCAAAAGACACAACTAAATTGCCAAGTGGAGAAAATGAATTCCTAACTTCCACTGTCTGTCCCACTAATTAAGGTCACATGTTCCATACAGTAAAATATTAAAAAAAAAATCAAGTATCTCTATACACAATTACAGTACTGAAGCATGACATAAATACTTTATAGAGCAAAAATAAGGAAAAAGATGAGGATGGGGTGACGGAACATTTTTGTTGGGTTATGGATGTTGGTGCTTATGTTTAGGGATTTATTCTCCATTTTATCTTTAAATATTTTTTTTACTGTCGGTTCATTTGTAAACCATCCAGAGGACTTCATGTAGTAAGACAGCTGGGAAAGGGTGCAAATATATAATTCAACAGAGGAAAACTACTATTTTCTCCAATATTCTCTCCAAGGAAGGAGAAAAAGCTGGCTAGGAAGGGTGTGTGTCAAGCAACAAGGTCTCCCATCTCTCCTTCCACTGGACATACTTCCACTGGACTGAAGAGTCTTTCAAATCCCTCTGCAGATCGCCATTCAGTTTGATTGACTGCTTATGTGCCATCAAGTCGCTGTTGACTCCTATCAACCACAGATAAATTTTCTCCATGATGATCTATCCCTAACCTGGCCCTTCAGGTCTTCCAACAGTGCACCCATTGTTCTGTAATTGAGTCCATCCACCTTGCTGCTGGTGGTCCTCTTCTTCTTTTTCCTTCCACCTTTCCCAGCATTAGAGCCTTCTCCAGAGAGCTGGGTCTTCGCATAATGTGTCCCAGGTAGGATAATTTGAGCCTGGTCATTTGTGCCTTGAGTGAGAATTCTGGGTTGATTTGTTCGGTGATCCCCTTGTTTGTTTTCTTAGCTGTCCATGGTATTCTTAGGAGTCTTCTCCAACACTGAAGTTCAATCATGTCAATACTCTTCCTATCCTGCTTCTTCAAAGACTGACTTTCACTTCCATAATGTGTCACAGGCAATTCCATGGATTGCATGATTCTGATCTTTGTAGGTATCTGATCTCATCATGGCATTTGAATTTCTTTTTCAAGGCCTTCATGGCTTTTCTACCAAGTGCTAGTCCTTTTAAAAAAAACTAAAGCAATAAACTGAGCATTGGCAACTATGCGCGTGGCCAAGCAATTCCTTCTTGGCTATAGAAGAAGAAATAATGGATTCTAATGTTGATGTGGCTGTGTGTGCTGCAGCCCCAATCACCTGCCATTTTGTGGCTGGTCATTTGGAGTCTCCCTGGCTGCTGGAGCCTCAATATTCATTCTATGGTCCAGACCTAGCTGCCTTACTGACTGGGTGATGGTCCCTCCCCTACTTCAGTTAGTAGCAAAGGAATATCCCCTTATAGCAAAGCAGAATAGCTGCCCTACCAGATTCATACAATCATCTTCACCATGGCATTTTTTTGCTGGACCACCCTCACTAGCACCATCAGTCAAGGACAAAGAAAATATGTACTTGAATTCAAACCCAGAACTGTTGGTGGCCAAAGCCCCACTAAGAGATACACTTTGTGCACTTAAGTCCTGGGGAATCCAGAGAGACTTACCGGAACTCCATAAATTCCAGGAAATCCAGGAACCCCCATTGGGCCCTAAAAGAAGAAAAAGGAATACAGTTGAGTGTTTGTCCTTTTTTATAACTCTAAGTCCAGTTCTTAAGGCAGCTAGCCTAGAACAATGATAGGTTTAAAACCAAGGATGAACTTGCTACAGATAATGTCTTTGTATTATTTTAGTTGCATTTTGGTTCCCAGTCAAGACTAATTCTTTATGCAGATGATTTCTGAGATTCTCCGGATTCTGAGTGGGTGGGCTACAGATATGTCAAACACAGTGGTAAGAGAAAGTCTGTAAATCCTCTAAAATCATGCATAACCCCACAGTACTGTCAGTTACAGTGAGATCAGAGCTTCATCTAAGTCCTATTAATAGATAAAGAGATTCTGGTTAAACAAACACAGAGAACAGTCTTTCTTTCCTTCTGAGTCACACTCAAGTAGCTTTCCAATTCTGGTAAAGGTCTACACAAAATGTTGGGAAGTCCTTGGAGCTTCAAAGATCACAGCACCTTGACACTTCCATCGGCAGGTTCTGAGGGGCACTCTGGAAGTGGCCCTCTTCCAATGTTTTGCACAGCTCTAGGGAGTAAGTTTTAGTGAAATACACACCGTAAAATAGCGTATATGTATGAGAGCAGATTGTTGGCGAACGTTCAGAAATGTCATTACCCTGGATATATTGAATACCGTTTTGTGCCCCAAACGATACAGCAAAAAGTAGCAGATTGCCACTGCAGGGCTGACTCTGAAGATGTATGAGAAACCTAAAGGCATGAATGAACTTACCTTGTCTCCCTTCATTCCAGCTGCACCTGGAGGTCCTGTTACGCCCCTCTCTCCTTTCACTCCTCTCACGCCCTCTGGCCCAGTAAAGCCTTCAAGGCCCATTGGTCCTTGGTTCCCGATTGGTCCTGGTTGACCCTAAGAGGAAGGAAGGAATGTTTTATTTTTTTCCCCAATAATCGTCTGCAGATCCTCATCCTAATATGAGTCAAGTATACATCAGCGAACTATTGAGAACGAAGTCCTCAACTGAAGGTCCATGTTCCACCTAAAGAAGAGTGAAGAAGGTGGCATCAATATGGTCAGGGCTATAGCAAACATAGAGCCATAAAAGGCCTCTGAAGAATGTCTAACAAATTCGTGAGCAGAGAAATTGGGAAGCTGATTTCTCAGAATTTCTCAAGATGGAGAGAGTAAGGAAGATGATCTTGACAAGGATATGTAAGATCTGTTGCCAGGATGACAAGTGGTGAAACATATTTTAAGCCACAACAGACAGAAGTGGCTCAGACAGACACCTCCCTCATTCACTGAACTACAAGGAGGAAGAAGTCTTGAAAACCTGGCTGTTCTCCCAGACCTTGGGGTAGGGTGGGTGAGACTCCCCTGGTTATAATTTTTATGTTTTGATATGTTGCCTGGATGGCCACGTTTTAATTATTTTACGAGAGCCAGTTTGGTATAGTCATTAAAGGTACCAGGCTAGAAATTGGGAGGCCATGAGTTCTAGTCCTGCCTTAGGCACAAAGCCAGCTGGGTGACTTTGGGCCAGTCACTCTCTCTCAGCCCTTGGAAAAAGGCAATGGTAACCACTTCCAAAAACCTTGCCAAGAAAACTGCAGGGACTAGTTCAGGCAATCGCCAGGAATCAACACTGACTTGAAGGCATGTGCACGGACCCACGCAACGTTTATGTCGTTATTTTTCTAATTTGTTTCAGTCAGTGTTATTGTATCTTGTTGCTTTTATGTGGCTGTTTATTTCTGGTGAGATGCCCAGAGTTGGTTGGCATCAAAACTAATAAATAAATAAATAAATATGTTCTCTGGGACCCCAGAGCTAAATGTCAAATGCTTAAATTTTGAGAAGGTAGATTTCAGATGAACTTAAGGTGGAAATTCAGTTCAACTTAAGAAGAAAGATTTCAGCTCAACTTAAGAATGAATCAGCAGTTTGTCCAACAATCTACCAGGATGGACATCCTCCTCTTTGCAGGTCTTCCAACTTAGACTGCTACAGAAAAGGCCTCCCCATGGCCTATCAACCAACTTCTTTAAGTGACCAAACATAAAAGGGAGCCTCCAATGACACTGGCAGATTCTAAAAATAGAAACTGATATTTGTTCTGCCACATCTTGGGGTCATTAACTGGTTCATTAATTTTTTTGGAAGACAAACTCAAAACTTTAGAGCTGAGATAGCTAGCAAAACTCTACAGTTGTCTTTGAAAGGGCTTGTTTGCGTCAACGTTTATGAATTATATAATCAAAACAAGAGTCTCATGCAGCATGTAGGAAAGAACCCCCTCCGTATCAGTTAAATTTATTATTTTCGGCTGTAATAACATTGTAAAACAGTTTTAAACACTGGTTTTTATTTAAACAAAAAGTCAAGAAGAAAAGCTAGCACAGTTGTAACATATGGATCACATACAGAGTGTCTAAACTCCACGGAGAACATAGAAGTTCTCCCCACACAGATCTCCTTCCATGCTGGCAGAACAGCATGAAAAGAAGAAAACGAAATAAAGGAGTCAGCTCCTTTTCTTAAAAAAAAAAAATCAGAATCCAGGAGCTACTAGAATAACTGTGATGACACACTCTGGAAGGACAGGGATGAAACATTTGAGCTGGATTTTTGTTTTTTGTTTTGGGTGGGAATGTTACCTTTCTTCTTTCAAAAGCAAAAAAGGTATGTCAAGCTTATCAGTGATTTCATATACTTATTTTGCTTCTTTCTGTAAAGGAGGAGGAGGAGGAGGAGGAGAAGGAGAAGGAACAACAATAACAACATTGTGCCATAAAATGTTGTGGGTATGATGGGGAGCTCAAGAGGGGTCAAAGAAAGGACAGGGAGACCAAATGTGGTCCATGGATTTTTTCCTTCTTCCAAGACAAAGATGTGGAATTAATTATCCTGAAGCTCTCTCTGTGCTACAGTCCCCAAAAGTTAGAAAGCTGCATGGATGGTTGATTACTAGCAGAGTTCTGTGGTGGAGAAACTGAATGTGGGATCTGAATTGTAATCCAAGGAAAGAAAAGAAGAATAAATGGCACAAAGTTATTACCTTATACCCAAAAGAACAAATTTAACAGTACTTCTAAATTTATCCCAGGATCCTGAGATGGCTCCAGAATCACAGCAAGCTATCACTAATATCCCTTATAATGTGACTAAGCCACAATAATCTAATTCTTATAAATGTCATTAACTCCTGGTTTTGAAGTCAACAAGGAGGCCTCACAACTATGCCTTCCGCATTAGAAATAAACAGGTGGTGTTGCCTTTAAAATAAAAGTAAATGCCACAATCAACCAATAAAGCAGCTACAGTCATTCTCCTCCATTGGGCATTACTGACATACATCCTCCCTCCTCCTCCTCCTCCTCCCTTAAAAACCAGCTGGAGGCCATGGTGAATGCTGCTGTCTGGCTGAAACCCAAGATGATCTTGTGGTACAAGGGACAACTTTCCCACCATATCCACCAACTTTACGAGGTTGCTGTGAGAGTGTATCTACAAGGAAGTGTTTTGCACACTTGCTGAACAAACAGTTGAAGGCTTTATTTTAAATCTCTGTTGAACTTCTACTGGGAGTTCCATTGCTGCATTAAACATTTGCATTAAAGCTTGGGGAATCTTCCTTGGGTTTTTAATGGGTATCTCCACATCTCTGTTAAGTAAAACATTTGGCAAAGAAGCCTTTGATAAGGGGGTTCTTTGACATGCTGAAGGTTCAATGGAGTTATCAAGAACATATGAGATAATCACACTTCATGGTTACTAACATGCAAGCAGCTTTTAACTGGCCAGGCCAGGCCAGGCCTAATTGAAAAGGAGTATCTGTCACACACTGGTATGCAAATATGGCTCCCATTATGGTTTGGTCAGCATTCGTGTATCCATGGAGGAAACCTCCAATGCAGATTTCAATTTGCAGCCAAACACATCTTGAGGGGTGGGGTGGGAATTTGGCTAAGGCATCTGTTACAATACAGAAGGGTCAGATTGCAAACTCGGACATAGACTGGGATGGGCAACTTTTTGGACACACATTCTGGGGGGACAGCAGGGCTGAAGTAAGTTAAAAAGTATGCCAAATGAATCCTGTACAGGTAGTCCTCATTTAGTGACTGCCTCATTTAGTGACCATTCACAGTTACAACAATGAAAAAGTAACTTTAAAACCAATACTTGCACTGATGACCTTCGCAGGTCTGTAAAGCAAAGGAAAGCTGAATTCGGATAATTAGTACAGTCGTGGTTTCACTTAGCGACCACTTTGCTTAACAACTGAGTTGCCAGCCCCAAGTGTGGTTGCTAAACAAGGACTATCTGTAGGGCCATGTTGCAGGTGTGACTGGGGCTGGAATTTTCAAGTTTTCCCAAGATTTTGGAGAGCAGAAATTCTGGGGGAATGACATAAAATAATGTCATTACACTGGTTTAGGGATTAAAAGGCAGTTCTTAAGAGGTCCCTGGCCTGAAAATGGCAGGAAATATTGTCACTGGTTTTCAGCAAGAGTTGAAGTGGGGACACAAAAAAGAGGCTTAGGAGCCACAGGCTACCAACTTCATCACAGATGGCTGAAGGTTTTATCTCTACACTCATTCACTGAAAGCCAGTGTGATGTAGTGGCGAAACTGCTGGTCTCTGAGTGGGGAGGCCCAGGTTCTAGCCCCCCACCTTCAGCCACAGAAGCTCCCTGAGGCACTCTGGGCCAGTCCCTCCCTCTCAGCCCAACCTATCCCACAGTGTTGTCGATGTGAGGAAAAGTAAGTCTTGTACTGCACTTAAGGTATAAGCACATAGCTGATACAAATGCTTCTGTGTTTTTGTCAGCCTTCTTAAACTGGTGGGAAAGACCTTGGGAGACAGACAGGACGAAGAGATGCTGCCTAGGGAATGGTCAGAAACGAGACTCCATAGCCCACAGCAGGATAGTGGGTGGGGCAAGAGGCTCAGAGGAAACCCTCCCTAGTTTCTCAGGCTGTAAAGGGAGTGCGGGGGGGGGAGATGTACTTTCAGACTTGCAAGATTCTGTTAATGTAACTTTACAATAAAGTAGAATTAGGTTATCTGGTCATGTTTCCTGTTTGGTCTACCTGGTAAGGCTGACAATATTCAACACCCTGCTCAAGGCAGGAGCCACTAGAGCACAGGTGACCATCCAGCTTCTGACTGAAGACCTCCAGTGATAGAGAATTCACTACTTAATTTAGCAGGCTGTTCCGCTTGCTGACCGCTCATATAATCTGGAACCTCCTCCTGATTCTAGCTTGAGGCTCCTTCCTTGCAATTTGAACCAACTGGTTCTTTCCTGTTCTCTATAGTCTCTGAAGCAACAGAGAATTAAGTCCACCGTGACAAAGCTTCAAATATTTAAATACTGCTATCGTCTCTCCTCAGAGTTGTCTTTTCTATAGGCTAAAAGTACCCAAAGTCTTCAACCATTCCTGGTAAGACTTGGCTTCCAGATCTTTCACTATCTTGGTAGCCCTCTTCTGAACTTGCTCAAATTTGTCATAGTCTGAACTGAAGTACCCAAAACTGGATGTAGTACTTCAAGCAGGGTCTACCCAAGGCACAGTAGAGTGGAACAATTACTTCCCGTGACATTAACCTCCTGTCAGTGCACCCCAAGACACCATTTGCCTTTTTAGTGGGTGCACTACATTGTTGGAAGTCAGTCCAAAGAGGAAACAGTTCCATTGCGTGGTAACTCCTTCTATATATCAACTTCCCTGCATGGAGATACTTCAGGGTTTCATAGCAAGTTCCATTCCATTTACACATGCAGAGTTTTACCCTATCAATCCCAGTGATTTTACCAACCAGCACTCCCCACATCTTCCAGGAGCCAAATAAATAAAAATTTAAAAAGATTTCAAAGTCAAGCCAACTCACAGCTGCAAGG